GACTGCGACCTACCTATCGTCCGAGTCGGCTCCGACGGGGACACGATTACCGGTCCCACCTTTGAGCCCGTCATCACGTACCGATTTACCGACAGCACGAAGGCCATGGACTACTTGTTGTACCTGATCTCTCGGATGAGCATCAGCAACCTCCGCTCGGTCTACGATCCCTCTGTCTCAGCAGCCGCAACGGAGGCGTGGGGCAAAGTAGCCCTCGGCATCATCTGCGGTATGAACGTGCTTCAGAAGCAGCAGTTCACGGTGCTTCGTATCGACGTTCTCGTCCGCTGGGTGGCACTCCTGGTCGAGAGCACCAATTTCGCCAGAACGATCCTCGACTACTTGATCCCGAAGGTCCTGTCCAACGGGCTGACGGCCCCGGAGATGGTCTCGTGGGTGTACACGAAGGCAAGGATGGAGTACTGGCTAAGGGAAAAGCTGCGTGGGCGGGCTATGAGATTCTTCATGACGGGGGTAGAGGAGGACTCTGATCCTTGGTGTATCCTCACCCCGCATACGATGGCAGGCTTTGGCGACTACAATGGCAAAGGCAGCTTCAGGGAAACCTTCGTCATGGATTGCTTTGCTTCCGTTGATAAGAGGTGATGGCATTCTGGGCTTTGTGCTCGACGCTCGACAGGATGAGAGAGAACCTCGTCGACTGGTCAGTCATGCATGTTGCGCTGCGATGGGTGCGCTGACGTCTCCAGCCGGGCTGAACTAGGTTGTGGTGGCACTTAGCAACTTGGTGTTGTTTTGCCATCCAGGTCAAATGGCGTTATTCTGGCGATTTGGGGCAACCTTGAGGGTCAAGAAACGAGCTTATATACCACACTGCCGTCGCTTCCGCAGACCGCAAATCTTCGCGTAGAGACCCTGATCACGCTGGGGTACGAGATAGAAAGGCTGCAGTATTGACATCCCTTCTCCCGCCATCTCCGAAAATCACTACAGTCTTTGTACACCGCTCGCCGAAGCTCCTACCCGTCATGCCCGAAACATCGACAGTTGAGAAGCTCAAATGGGCCGATCATCCATATATTCACTCTCTTCCAGGCCTGAGGTTTCCAAAGATCGACAAGTGGAAAGACCTTTTCCCTGGACGCAGCCTGGAGTTATTCGGAATTTTCTTCGATGATTCTGCTCTCGACACCCAGGGGAGCGTTGAATTAAAGATCATGTATTACTTCAACGTCGTTAATCAGGAGCTGGGCAGGCTCCCAAAGGGGGTCTTCGTCGCTGGATTCGGTTCCGATGTTGATCAGTCACTAATCCAGCACTCGCTCTACTCCACGATCGGGCGAGTTTATGAGAGCTATCCCTTGGTTGACAGACTCCATTTCGCCTTTGGAATCGTGAATACACTCGTCCTTGCTCGAAATGCCTTCGTGGAAAGGATGGGGAGTGGCCCAGCGCCCGCATATGGAGGCCTCGGACAGGTTGTGGACATTACAAGATTGCTTTCACGAGATCGTCCAAATATGCTCGTTGACGGATCTAATTACGGATTCTTGCGTGACGGTAGGTTTCCCATCTTAGTCTGCTGAATTTCATCCACTAACATTTTTCGAAGAAATGGACGCAGAGTCCCCCGCCAGCGAGGCATCCTCAGACGACGACATCTTTACTCCATCAACCTCGGAATCGGCCGATGTTGCAGAGATAGAGGAGCCTGTACAAGAGCCCATCCCAGCCTGCTCAATCCAGCCTGTCGTCCCGCAGAGCACACAGTCGATTCATCCCCTTCTCGTGCAGGGATCGACGTACAGATACCCAAGAAACTCCACCATTCCTCTGACGCCGGTCATCAAAGAAGACGAACTAGACTGCGCTGAAGCAAAGGAGGATGTTCTGGGCAAATCTAAGGAAAGATGCAACGTCATGTCGAGCAGGATTGAGCGCCTCGAAAAGGAAAACCGTCAACTGCAGACCCGCTTTGTCACCGAACAAACACTGAAGACACGCACGACATTGTCCCTTCAGGCCAAGGAGAAGGATCTCTGCATGGTCCAGGAAGCCTTTTGGAAGCTTTGGGAAGCCCACCGTCGCCAGTTGAACAGTGGTTTGGAGGCCAACGGTATGGAGGGCCTCTCTTGGGGGGCAAATGATGCAGGGATTTATCTTTGCAGCTTGGATCTCGGAAAGGACTCTTGAATGATTGGCCTTGGGCGTTCGAAGTTTGATACCATCTGAAATGGTCATGGCCTGTGTCTGGGGACGGAGGGATCGATCTTGGCTAATTAAGTTGGTCTTCTGAAGGTTTAGATGACTCGCGGCATCCAGGAACTGTTTTCCTTGTCATGAATTATAATTGGAAGACATATCTCGGCTTGCGCTAGATCGCTGGTTTCCGCCCATCTGATCATCGCAATGAGCTTGTTCCCTTCTCTGACCAGACTGCGTTCGCTATTCGGAGCGCCTTTCCAGGCAGTCGTGAAGCTTTAGGAGTGCCTTCTCAGTGTCAGAAGCTTTCTTAGAAGGGCAAGGAGTGTGATGGCTACCTATCCACCTTGATCGACCGTTCTGAACCCTGCTACTGGAATTCGAGACCATTAAGGACTTACCTTCCTGGTCACTCCCCACCTTTTTTTAAGTTGCTATTAGACTTCGCAACATCTCTAGACCAGAAGAGCAAGTTTTTTCTCATAGAACCTTATATACAACATCTGTCGACTATTTCTTCTCTCTGAACTCATAAGCCTTTGTTCTCGTTGTTGTCTTATTACCTACCCTCACCTTTCGTCAACATCCATCATCGTCTTCAGCCATCGCCGTCCCCCGCCGAAGCCGCTAAGTATTGCCAAGTCTCTTTTCGATTGTTTCTCCTAAAGAAACCGCTAACGGCTTGCAGGATGACTGATATCAATACTCAGCAAACTGACAAGGTGGATTATTCGCAAGCAATCGAGGTTGTCCCTATGAGCCAAATTGAGGACGATGAACAGTTTGTTGAGGACTGGCTAAGGCTCGACGAAGGGATCCTCAACGAGCCAAGCGATCCTGTCAGCCAAACTCCGGAGCAAGAAGATATGGCCGAGGACTGGCTCATGCTTCAACAAGAGATATTCAAAGAGCAAACTGACCCTGTCAACTACTATGCGAGCCATCCTGACCTGCGCAGGCTGCCAGGTCTTCGCTTCCCGGGTGAGATGGGCAACCCTGTAACTCGAGTTGGCCAGGCTGGTTGGCAAATGTTCTTTGATGGCCCAGCTCCTTCATCTCACAGCAACAAGCTTCTGCTTGCCGCTAATATCAAGAAATTCACGGATGTCTGTGTGGAGGTCGTCACAGAGTCTCGTGGTGTCGGTCAATGGAACGAGATTCTTCGGGAAGCCATGCAGCGGTTGACGACAAGGACTGGCAGGGAGCAGTGGGTCGCTGTCATTGTGGAGGATGTTTCCAAGTGCATGACCCGCCTTGTGGGAGCTCGCAACCTGTTCTTGAGGAGGAGTGATCTGCGTCGCGGTCACCTCCGTGGTCAGCGCCCGATAAAGCTTCCAAAGGGGTTCCGCCCTTTCTTGGCTAGTCTTGACAGATGGATTGAAGCTTCGGTTTGGATTCAGCCAGGGCATGAGCCTAGTGCGACTCACGAATCGATGGAACCCGGTAAGTCTTCGCGAATATGTTGCAAATATACTTCATGCTGAACGAAATCAATCCAGCTGCGACAAATGAGATACCTCAGAGACCTCCAAAGCGGTCGCATGATGAGACAAGCCCGTCAGACGATGATGTGGAGCGGCCTAACAAGATTCGTCAGGTTAAAGCGGAAGATACTGGAGCCTCCACTCAGGCCGAGTCTTTGACCTCTGGTTATGAGCGGCGAATTGCGCTGCTGGAGGCTGAAAATCGAAAGCTTCAACATAGCTTAGCCGAAAACAGCAGGTGTGCGGATGAGGATGACTCGAGAAGACCTCGCAACTGGGTCAAATCGGCAAGAGATTGGGCAGCCTCCTTTTGGGGCTAAGCACGATGGTCTTCTAGCCGCTAGTGTTCTCTTTGTACAAACATGACGTTCCATAATAACACATGTCGCCCGGAAGGGAGTTCCTTCGACCTCTATTCATGTTCGCCAGTTACCATATCTGTTGTCGGCGTCCTTGTTGTTGTCATCGTGTGATGCCGATATACCGATTTGGTGGGTCCGGGTTCTCGGCGTAGGACGATAATAGTGCGACACCATTGAATACTGAGATTCTCTGAGTAGATTCGGTAGGTCTTTCAACAATAATGTTTCCATCTTCAAAGAGACTACCGAGGAGAACAAGGCCGCAAGATGCGTTGTCCTCAGGCCGAACAACAAACGAGCCGCGTGACTGGTCGCCGGTGGTCAATTGTGGGGACATCCTTTTCACTTCTCACCTTGTCTTTGAGCAACCTCAGCTCACGGGATGGGTATTTAGGGCAGTTGCCTTGCCCGTTCTGCCACGAGGTTCCGGTCGCTTGTTGAGTGTGTATGCCGCAGTGGTTAAGGCTGGCCCCCTTTCAGCCCTGTGGTATGCTAACCTCCTACAGATCCTTTTTGTAGTTTGCATGTTCGAACTCCCTTTTGGACCCTTTTTTGCTTCTTCTTTTAGTTTTTAGGGCTGGCATCTAACGAGAAAATTTCATTCGCTGATCATATGAATATGCAAAGATGAAAGATAAAACTGCGTGCTAATTTTGCTACGAGATTTCATGCGAGGTGTACGGCCTACGTCATGATGATCATGATTTTCATGACGCTTTGAGAATGGTCTGTGTCGTACACTTGGAGATGCGATACTTCTTGGCCCCTTCCCGAAAGTCGAAGTTGAACTTCACAGTGAATATGAGGTCCGGCTCATTAGTCCCACTTTTCCCCATCGCCCTCTCACCCAGACAACGCACCACTCCTCACAATCTTATTTTATTCACACTTCGTCTCAAAACAGCTCTATGTCGCGGTGAAGCCATCTTCACTTCGCGCCTTGAGAGACAGTTTTCAGCTTCTTGACTGCTATCCGACCACTTACGGCAACATGGGTGGCCGAAACCGCACTCGCAAGAGCAAGTCTTTCGCTCCTTGGTTTCAAACTATTCGCGCGATGCCTGGACTCTCTGTTCACGGCAGTCTCCAGAAGCCTCTCGTCACGCGCAACTCGATGGAAGCCTTTTTGTTCATGCTCACGGGAATCAAGGCTGGACAGACCCCCAATAACAGCACGGCCATGTCGGACTTCAACCGTACGATTACGGTCGCGCGCCGCGCCTCCGAGATCCTCAAAACCGCCATCGCGATCGTTGAAAAGACCCACGACGTCTCCCACTGGAGCCTTGCAGATCTTTGGCAGGCCGCCTTGACCGAGCTATCCAAGAAGGGACCCACGTGGAGATTCAAGGTCGCTGCATACGCCTCTGAGGAGGTGATGGACGTGTTCATCAAAGCTCGTTCGGATCTGTCAACCGCTGGGCGTGCCCGCCAGGTCGCATCCGAGGACATCCAGCAGTTTCTTGACGCACTCGACAAGTTCATCGACATGAAATCCCAGCACAACCTTCGCCCCCGACCCCGTTCGCGCCGCCGAGCCCGACCTGCGCCCGAGCTTCGCTCCGGCCAGGCAGAGGTTCGGGATGTGCAGAACCATGAGAACGCCTCAGTTGGAGACATGGTCGATGATGACTCAGATTCTGAGAAGCCTGGTAAGTTTCTTCTGGGTCCCTGTTCGTCGTTGTCGTTGTCGTCGTCGTCGTCGTCGTCGTCGTCGTCAGTCGTTGCTTGCTTGCTCCTGAGGTGCTGACAAGATACCCAGTCATCAAGCCCGAGCGCATCGTCCCGGTTCCTGACGCCTATGCTACTATGAATCGACAGCCGTCAATCTCTCCCGAGAACATCGATCGCATCCAAGTTCTTGTCGCTGAGAAGGAAGCTCTTGCCGCTGAGAAGGAAGCATTTGCCGCTGAGAAGGAAGCTCTTGTCGCTGAAAAGCAAAGTCTGACAGAGGCTCTTTAGGAGAGAGGCCGCGAACTTCAAGATCTGCAAGAGGGATACGATGAGCTCGATGATGAGAATGATGGGCTGCTGGAGGAGAATGATAAGCTCGCCGATCATTGCGATATTCTCAAGGACACAGTCTGGGACTATCAGAGATGGTTAAATGCCGACGAACGCACCATTCGCACCCAAGAGATCATGATCGCCCGCTACCAAGAGGCAATGCGCCTACAGCAAGCCGAGATTCGAAGACTGCGGGAGGAGGATGCCTTGCGTCAGGCTCGAAGCATCCTCCGAGCCTGGGCCCAGTACCAGGAGGGAAGACGCCACCACTGTTAGGGATGATACAAGTACGAAAAGAGTTTCTAGAGATCGATGGGCGTGGCATTGGCTTGGCTAGAGGGTGGGTACTGTTCTTTGAATTGGACAAGAAAGCAGTATCATAGCCTAAGGGCGTACGTTTGGGCTAGGAATCGTCCCTCAGAGTACCTAGGTTATGTTGAGAATACGCTTACAGAGCTCGGGACTGTGACTACTTTTAGATACAGGCTTCGCCTGAAAGATAGACAAGAACGTCAAGGACGACGAGTCGAGCGACGAGATTCTACGGAGGCTATTGGTCCGTTTTCTTACGCTATTGGTCAACAATGAATCCATCCCTGTGGGGTCTCATCTGTATAGGTTGGACCAAAGGCGGTCTGATCTCCTGTGCGTTCGCCACCAAGTTGATTCCGAGACCGGGACCAGATGGAATATCAACAAAGCCCTCCTTAGGCGTCGGAACGTAATCAACAATGTCGCTGCCAAGATGTCTCGAAGTGCTCTCGAATACCCCAGCCTCGAATCCCGTAGCATACTCCTGTATTGCAAAGTTGGGAATCGCCGCGGCAACTTGTAAACAGGCTGCGAGCCCTATCGGCGAGAGCGGGTTATGCGGAATGATCTGAACATGGTTGGCTTCGGCCATTGCTGCCACCTTTTTTGCTCCGGTAATTCCGCCACAAACAGCAACATCCACCCTCGCGTACTCGAGAGCGTTTCGGGCCAGCAGTGCTTGAAACTCGTAGATGGTACAGAAACGCTCTCCCGTGGCAATCGGGACGGAGATACGTTCGGCCACGCGAGCCATTGCATCGGCGTTTTCGGGTCTAATCGGGTCTTCAACGAACATCGGGAGTGTTTCGGCGATGCCGTTGCAGAAAGTGACTGCTTCGGCCGGGGTTAGACGACGGTGCAGCTCGACGAGCAAGTCAACCTTGTCTCCAACAACCTTCCGCATCTTTCGCACATTTTCGATGGCATGTCGCATCTTCTGAACATGTGTCTTGAAGTAAACCTTGTCGGTTCCCTCGTCGAGAAAGGGGTTGATATGGCCGAAGGCGGTGAACCCCATGTCCATCTTTCGCTTGCACTCTTCAAGTACTTTCTCAATGGTACTCTCATAGATGTGTCCATAAACCCGAGCTTTTGTGCGGCAAGCCCCTCCAAGGAGCTCATAGATCGGAACACCCAGAGCCTTGCCCTTGATGTCCCAAAGCGCGATGTCAATGGAGGAGATTGCGGCGTTGATGGCAAGGCCCTGGAAGTAGCTGAAGCGATGCATCACGTTCCAGTGGTGTTCGATGTCGAAGGCCCGCTTGCCGACTAGATACTCGGCGAACCTTTTGATACATGTCGCGGCTGCTTCTATGTGACCCCAAATCCCAGCCTCTCCATGACCAATGATGCCTTCAGTCGTCGTGATACGACAAAACATGAACTGGCCTACGTGAAGGGGCTCGACAGCACTGATAATCTGTTCCTGTCGCGCCATCTGATGAAAGTTAGACTTGTGATCGTACTTCGGAGATGGATGTACCCACGTTCAGCTTGACAGGTTGCGATGGGAATATTTGGATTGTGAGAGGCGCAGGAGTTGAGATCCCCCCCACACTCAAGTTATTTCTACGGGATTTCTTACTAAAGTAGCAAGGCAGATCAGCCAAGACGCGATCAGATTTCCGATATCGCACTCGGAAAAGGCCAAGGGCTCGTTCTGCACAAGATTGATACTGGGAGTGATTCCCCGATCCAATCGGAGCATCACGCATGTGACATCTCCCAGGCCTTGGCGCGGGGTATGCTTCATCCGCTGGCCTATGGACCGGCGGCTCGTTATACGCGAGTTTTCGACGGAAATACGGAAGGCTGAGAATCGAGTTGGCCCTTACAGTTTTCACTAACGCAGCTTACCCAATGCCTTTGTTTTTAAAGGCTCGGCTGATTGCTCCCGGATTTCAGAACCCAGCATTGGCGCCCATGAAGTCCAGCTCGGGGATGATTCTACCCAAATCAAGAACCTTTGTCGGTATTATCAGCTGACATGCTGCTTCGGGATTAAATGACACAGGTTGACTTACCAATGAATCCAATTGTTCCCAGTTGGGAAGATCCATCAGCTCAAAGAGATTGTCCTCGGCCCCAAGTCTCTCGAGCCATGATGTTGCACCCGGCTCAAGCGCAGTTTCCGACAGCGATATGGATTTGCTGGTATGCGATTGAGAGCTTTGCTGAACCTGGTTTATGACCTCAAGACGGTATTCCTCCATGATGACGGATAGTCGCCGACCAAGGGAGCTAGGGCTAGTGATGCTGAACAATAGTCTTTGGCAGCGCTCTGCCGCTTCAAAGTGCTCTTTCCAAGGAGCCTGGTTGTCTTTGTGATTCCGGATGGTATATGTGTACAGCACAACTACTGCGCAGAACGCCTGATACGGTGCAAACCAGAGCGACGGATACAGTTGCTTCGACTCGACCATGTAGTCAATGATAGTCACGACGCTCAAGGCTGCGTCAACGCATCTCTTGACATTTTCTTTCGTCTCTTTGTCAAGACTGGACTTTGAGTAGTCGTTGAAGAGACATGGGCGATAAATGAGCATCAGGCAGTGCCCAGCCGCGAGGCTCAGAGTATTGCTCTGCCGTTGGTAGATTGGTTGCAAGATGCGGGAGTCGACTTTGTCCGGATTAAGGAAAGCCGGCAGCTGGTCTCGCCAGGTCTGAATCTCAGCGCCTAGCCTGGCCATCGTTTCGTGCCTTGCTGTCTCATCCAGCGAGCTGATGCCATAGAGCTGTCTCAAGATCCTGCTCAGTATCCTAGCCAGCTGTTGGTGTGCTAGGGGACCCAGCATAATATTCATAGCTCTTCGACTGGTGACATCCACAGATGTACTGCCCAGTGCGTGATCCTCGATGAGTGCAGGAACCTCTTGGTCAATATCGTCATCATGAAAGGCGCATGGGCGGCCGAATATGGCACTCAAGTATCTGTCCAGATTGTATGCACACCAGAATGTCCGTTTCCTGCATTCAGATTCGATGAGACATCCTGTGCTGTCGCCTATGCCGTCGAGATTAAACTTCTTCCGGTGCATTCCCAATGCAAGAACAAGTCTTGAGGTTGTCCCCAAAAGGCTCCAGCAGTGATTGAGTTGTGACTGAGTCATAATGTAGAAGCAACAACCGAGGAGAGCTTGGACGCTCGTCAAAGTAGCGGGTTCTGTCTCACGATTGAGCTCCTGTTCGGCAGACTGAAAGTAGAGCATGCTATGAACGCAGTTAGAGCCGCCCTGAATTTTCTCGTTCGATGGTCAAAACTCACCCATTACTGACGTTAGAAGTACCCTGCGGCTCGATGTACTGAATCGACTGGGCAAACATGGTCATGATGACTGCATATTTACTTCTAGAGTGAGGTACCGAAACCATGCCATTTTGGTATAATTGTTCCAGCCAACCCTCAACTGTAGGTCTGTGAAGGAATCTGTACGTTGGTGAGGATAGCTCGAAGTAGGTTTTCAGTAAGTTGTCCGCCTTCTCTTTCGGGGGTAAAATGACTGCATCGTTGTCGAATTGAGGCAGAACAGGATCGCCGAGAGCAAAGACTGATGTTTCCGTCGATCCACCACTATTCTCTCTCAACCGTCGTTGCAAGCGGAGGAGAAAGCTAAGTCCTGACGAAGCGCCTACAAAATGACCCTGGCGATCACTCTCACCCGGTTCCGGCGAAGCTTCATTTCCCGGTTCTCGTCCCTCACATGAGCCACTCTCAATTGCGATGCCAGTTAAACCATGGCCATGAGTCTCAGGCTGAGTATCTTGAACTGACTGAGGAGTTGAAAGAGGGTAGGGTGAGATTGAGGATGATTCAGATGGAATCCCCAAGTTGGGGCGAGGCCTTCGTTTACCCCTGGCATATGGGGCTTTGAACTCGCAAGTGATGTCCTCTTGAACACATTTTGGACAGGGCTGCTTTCCGGTGCATCGAATCTTTTTGCTTGAGGAAAGTCAGCATTCCTACTTCAACTACCACGCTGCCGCGATATCAAACCTCCCGATCCGAGGAGTGTTCGTACCTTTTGCAGTAGTCGCAGGCGCGGCTAACTCGTACCCTGGCCCGCGGACTTTTCTTTGGAGTTGCAGGGCTATGCGAAGCAGCATGCTGGGACACAGGAGAGTCCATCTCTGGAGAATCTATCATCGACAGCATTTCGGTTTGGAGGGCTCTGGGAGACAAAGGTGTGTCTGGACAGTCAATATTGCCGAAGGCTGAAGATATCCGACATCCGAACTGAAGTAGCCGAAGCCGGAAAAGCCCCCTGTTACTCTACAAAAACAGGGACGGAACGGCTTCGCCCCACTATAGAGTTTCCGCCGTCCACTGCCGGATAAACGGGCCCAAGCGTGACTTTTCGGCTTCATTCCGCCTCTCCAAGACAGAAGTTTAAACATTTCATGTTTATCTATCAAAGCGAATTGGAACTGAGCCAGTTGGTGCGGCAAAGGAATTGAAAGTCTAATCATAACTATAAATCCGTCGCACCTTCGATGTCTTACTTAAGCAACTCAAGCACACCGGCATTCGCACCCTTCACTGCCGCTTTACCCTTCAGCTCATCTTTCGCAATGGGGTTTACAAAAGCTTTGGTGTCGCCGCTAGTGTTTTTCATAATCTTCAGCCAATATTCGACGAGATTGAGTGATGAAGCCGACTGATCGTGAGGTACCTGCGCAACTCGTCAAAAGGATGTACGTTATGACCCGAACGAGCTGTCTTACCATGTGTCCTGCTTCCCCAATTTCTGCAAGCCAAAGCCCGGTAGTATTCTTGATCCTTCCACCGCGTCCACCCTTGGACGCATTCCACGGCAGCTCTTGCCATGGAATCGCTCTAAAAGGGGTTCGGCCAGCCCATCTGACCATCTTCAGGCCCTCCAAGACACCCTCGGCGTTGCAAATGATATCAGCCACACCGACATATACCAGCACGTCCACAACACCTTGCCATCTCGAAATAATGGAGGCTTGAGAATGGTCGAGAATCTTTTGCATGTCTTTGATGGCGGGTGTGTAAAAGTCACCAGACTCGAAGTACCGTCTTTCTATCAGTGGGCTCATCATATCCCATCCCTTCTTTCGACCACCGGTCTGCGTTGGAACTTCGAGTTGATCCCTGAACACCTTGTCGGAGTTGAGGACGTCAACCATCTTGGCAATGTCCGGATAGCAGTCCTGAGGACCCGGGCAATTGCGAAGACGTCTGTCATAGTAGCTTCTTGTCACATTGGCAAAAATGCCAATGAAATCGTCTTGGCATAGCTTCTTCGGCTGAGCACAGAGGACTGGATCATTATCTCCCAATGCGCATGCTCGAGCGACTGCTTCGCATCTGTCAACAGCTTTTAACGCCCTGGAACAGTCTTCGGGGCCCAGGTGAGTATCAAACTGGTCCCGGTACGGAAAACAAGACACATCATACATCGAGACTAGTTGCTCGGCAGGGCTAATCCATGGGTTGCCGAGCATCAACGACCTCAAGGGTATGGTGGCCAGAGCCGCCTTGATATCTGGCGCTGAAGTCAGAAAGTCATTATACTCAAGTATTGTCGATGCAATTGACGGGATGTATCTTCCGGCATATGATTCTCCAGCCAGGTGCAGGTCGGCGTCAGCGAAGTCGGGGAAAGCCTCGTAGAAGAGCTTTATGAAGCTGATAACATCGAGAGCAGACTCCTCGGCCCGGGAGGGATATGATGTCTCGTCGGAATAATCATCCACATAAGAGAACCCGACACCGGCAGGCTGGTCGAGGTAGATGATATTGAAATGTTCCGTCCACGAATTAGAGTTAAACTCGGTCCCGTTGGCACCATCGCTGAGGCAGGGTCCATTCTCGTAAAGCATGCCATGCAGAGAACTGCCGCCCGGGCCTCCCTGGAACCAAATCATCAAGGGTGCATCTTGCTCATCGTGTCTTGCCTCGTGAAACCCTGCATGCCACGCATCAGTACTTTTGTCTCTGCGAAAGAAAGGTGTGGTAAGACGGACAGAAAAACAGATGGCGTTCACCGATATCTGCCCAACCAGTGTGCTGCCTGGCACCTGCGTGACAAAGAAGCGCGTCATCAGCCGACCAACTTTTGACGCGTATTGAGTGGTCACTAAACTCCGACACAATCGTCCTGTAGCCTGTTGCAACGGCGCCGACGACATGATTGGTGAGGGCCGCGCAAGCTAAAATGCGCGTAAGCCAGCGTGGGGACGCCATCACATTCGCAAAAGAACGCGACAGAGGCTGGGGACAGTGCTAGGTATGGACCAAGGAACCGGAGAAACGATCGCAGATGACAAATGGAAAATTTGCGCTATCAGAATTTGGTGACGCCCTCCACAGGATCATGATGGAATGGCGGAGTGAGTCAACATAAGGAGCTAACAACCACCACATTGTCGCATTTGTATTCCCGAACAGGCAATTTTGAGGGAAGAAGATGGGTGGGGCATGCGGTGCGGGTCGGCCGACCCCGGTCCGTGGCTTGGCCTCAGCAGGGCCCGGGAGTCAGGCAACTAACAAGAATTAAAAAGTCTTGCGAAGAGTCACTGTACAAATATGTCGGTAAGATGCCTTGTTTTCCAGTAATTTTTGGCAGGAGGAAAGTTCAGACTCAGGCCTCTAGTCAACACAAGACCCTCACTTACAGCAAAGCCGTCATGTCTACCAGTCACGCCTTGCCGCCATCACGCCGGGGAAGACGGAATGTCCAGCCGGATCTGATGATCGATCTCAGCCGGAGGGTGGAACAAGATCAATATCATCCGTCAAAGAACCCAAAGGGGATCATTGACCTCGGCTCTGCTGTCAACGAGCTGATGTTGGAAGACATCGCCAGCTGGACCAGGTGGAATCTGAAGAAGGGCGAGCTGAAAGATGGTAGGGTTCCCAACGAAGAATGATTCGCATTTGAACCGGCATTTGACGATTTCCTTTGGTCGTAGGTCTCGGATACAATGATACCCAAGGCTCCCCTGAGCTCCTCAAAGCCGCCGCCGACTTCATGAACGAGCACTTCAATGCCCGCATCCCATTGACTTCGGACAACATCCTTGTAGCAAACGGAGCTACGACATTGCTAGACACATTGACCTACAACATCGCGGATGAGGGTGACTCGATATTGCTTCCAACGCCAAGCTACGGCATGTTCGCCCACGACATCTCCACAAGGAATCAAGTGCGCCTTGTCGAAGTACCATGCGATGACATACCTGATGATCGGTTCACGGGACAACCCACAGGTAATGGTGACGGAGCTCGCCAATGCGAGATTGTGGCCCGTCTGGAAGATGCAATCGAGCGCGAGTTGAGTCAAGGGCGGAAGGTTGCCGGCGTTCTGCTTGCGAACCCAGAGAACCCTTTGGGTCGGTGTTATTCCGCACATGTTCTTTTGCAAATCTCGCAACTATGTTCCAAGTACAAAGTGCATCTCGTTGTCGACGAGATATACGCCATGACCGGAGGCAACTTTTCAAGCATGTTGAGTCTAGGCCTGGACACGAACTTCAGAAACGTGCACGTCCTGTGGGGGATGAGCAAAGTAAGTTGCGGCGATCTCGTGTTTTGTCCCCACTGCGTGAAGATTGAATCAGCTTTGTCCCCGGTGACGAGGATTCTAACGACACAAACCGCAGGACTTTGGACTTGGCGGTCTCAGGATTGGGTTCCTTGCCACGTACAACCAGGAGATTCACGATACCATGCGAACTTTAAGGTTAGTCCAGCCAGTCAGTGGGGATAGAGATCCTTGCTAACAGTCCCCAGCATGTTTGGCTGGGTCTCATCGTACAGCGCGACGATTGCGGCAAAGCTGCTGTCGGACAAGAAGTACTTCAGAGACCATTACACACCAACGTTCAACCGCCGACTCAAGAAGAGGCGAATCCTTGTCGAGGGCGAGCTTGACAAGTATGACATTCCATACATGAAGGCCGACTCAGGTTTCTTCATGTTCGTCGATCTCTCCGACTGGATGGACTTGCTGTTCGCACAACACGGCAAGGATGGAGAGTTGGAGCTTTTAGAGCACCTGATGGAGAACGGAGTATTCCTGGAACCCGGAAAGGTACGTCAGTGGAACTTGTATCCTCTTCAGACGAGATCGGAAACACCCAACGCTGACACGAACTGCGATGCACGGCAGGCATTCTTCGCCAGAACCCCAGGGTGGTTCCGCCTGAGCTTCGGCGGAGAGAAACACACAGTCAAGACCGGTCTCCAGAGGCTGTTCCGCTGCTTGCGGGCGCTGGACGGGAAACCAGATCCATTGGGCGTTGCAAATCTCACACCGTACCTCCCACCTTACCGCCAAATGGCGCACATAGTCGCCGTGTAAAACCGAGCATGCTAAGTCGGCGTAGATGATTCTCGGTCTCGGCATCCCTCCCGAGGAGACACGGCGAGTTGCTGCGACTCTTGTCAACGGAAGACATATGCCGGGCCTCAGACCTCCCAAGTCGGTGAGATGGCATGACTCAATCGCGGTCATTCCGAGATGCGAGGGTTTCGGGTAGGGCTTCTGCCAGCTGATGTACAGACCAATCATCTCGTACTCGCATGATAATTCGAGAACCCACGAATAATGATTGGTGGGAGTGCATGGGGTAGATCGGCAAACTTGTCCAAATTGTCGGGTTTCTGGGCTTTCTGTCTTGGGATTTTTCTGGGTCGTCTGAGGTCTGTCTCCAATATTCACGTTCGTCCTGTTTTATGTCGATCTCGGAATCAAAGCCGATGCATGGTCTCCGTGTTTGAGCGGATATATCCATAGTCTTCCCAACAGCGCCAATGTCATGACATCTTTTTTTCCCTTTCAAAAATAACACCGGCAATTGTGAATGATGGGGTTCAAATACGCCGTTTAATAATTCAGTGCAGCCGATTTGGCCGTTTAGCATGTTTTCCATCTGATTACCGTCCGGTGTTTTCGCTCATCCCATTTTATGGTGTAGGATGGGGAGGTGACACCTGATGAAATAGAGTTTGTCCTTTCATACGGTTCTGCTCCGCAACCAACCTCAGTGTTTGAAGTTCGAGTCAAGCATGCGTTGTGCACCAGCGCGCTCTCTCGTTAGATAGCAAGGGCCAATTAGTTGACATGACTCGGGGAGAAATATCGTCGATCCAACTCATGCCTTCCGACTTCGACATATCAGACCACAGCCATATATAAGTCGTCGATATTACCATGTTGTTTTCGTTGTCAAATTCAGTCTTGAATTATACCTTGTCGTCCATACTCATCATCATCAATCGTTTTCAGCCAAAAACTCCCTGCCATTAGCAACCAACATCAACATGCGTTTCTCTCTCGTCGCCGTCTTGCCCTTCCTTGTCTCTGCTGTCGTTGCGCAGCGCGGCATTGGAGGTACGTGGTCCTTGAAGCGGGGTTTTTCATGACCTCCTCAACTAATCCCTCCATATGGTCGTGGGTAGGAAGACTAACATTTTATTTCTTATACCCAGGGGTCTAAGCGGCGCAGGCTAACGCTAGCCCCCCTACTCACATAGGGGGCGAAAAAACAGGGTTTCTACTTAAAAAAGGGGGTTTCTAGCTAGTTATATAAAAGTTATATTTTTCTCGTTTTACTATTAAAAAATATCCTTTTTAAAACTATACTATAACTTAAAATTATATTTTTTTTAATTATTTCTTTTAATTCTTATTATTAGGATATTTTATTAAAGTAATATTAATTTAATACTTACTAAATAAACTATATAGGTATTATATATTATATAATATTAAGTTTTCTATTTTAGCTACTCTAATAAACTTCTATTTATGATACTATTAATCTAAGCTATTATTAGAGATTATAAAATATTTTATATAGTAGTAAAGAAGTATCTAAAAGTTTTAGAAATTAGTTATAACTTTTTTATACTATTTTAAGAAAGTAGCTAGCTAAAAGTAGTAATAGAAATTAAAAACTTAGTTTTAATAGTATTTATAATATAGTTTAATACTATTAGCTTTTTAATAACTTTAATAATTTTTTAAAAAAATAGCTAATTTATTTTAAACTACTTAAAGTATAAGCTTTATATTAGATTACTTTATAATATTTTAGATAGCTAACTACTTAGAATTTTAAAAGGAATTAAGGATTAAGCTTATTAAGGTTTATTAGAAAAATATTAAGTTTAACTTAATATTAATCTAAAAGTTCTTTAATTAGTATAATACTATAGCTTAAAAATATAATCTTAAGCTTTCTAAGATATAAAATATTAATAAATCTAATTACTATATTAATTATTTTAATAGCTATATATATATTACTTTACTTTAAAAATAATAAAAATAGAGTAAACTATAAGAAGTTATTAATCTAACTAATAGAAAGTTATATACTTTTATTAATATTAATAATATTATTAGAGATATTATCTTAGTTTACTTTATTTTTAAGATATAGCTAATTACTACTTAAGTTAATTATAATATTAATAAAAGTATTTACTTTATATAATTTCTTATTATTTTCTCTAACTAAGAGATTATAATAAATTATATTAAGTATTTTAATATATATTTATTTAAATACTTAATAAAGTTTTAATAACTTAAGTATATTATAGAGTTATAGTTTAGTATTAATATTTATAAAAATTACTTTAATTAGCTTAAGATATATAATATTATATTAAAAGTTTATATTAAGTTATATAGAGATATTCTCTAAGAAAAATCTAATATAAAGTTATATTATTTACTCTTTTTAGATAGCTTCTCTAAGTATATTAGTATAAATCTTATAGAATACTATATTAATTTTAATATTATTATTAGGTTTTTTCCCTTTTATACTATATATTTATTTTAATTTATAAATATAAGAGTTTTCTAGCTATTTAAAAAAGTTTACTAAATAGTACTATAAGAGTTTATATAAAGTAATAACCTTATTTTTATATATAGAGATTTTATTAGTAAGTTCTAATAGATAATAAATATAATATTTACTTAAGTTAATATTATAATAAAGTTTAAAAAGTTAAGTATTTAGCTAATTAGAGATAATATAGTTCTTTTTTAATTAGTTAAATATATATAGTTAGCTTAAGTTAATATATTTAGCTATTTCTTTTACTACTTATTAAATAAAGATAAGTTTAAAAGGGTTATACTATAAGTAGATATAATTAAGTAATATTATATTACTAAATAAAGCTTTTTTATTTAGAAAAGTTATAAAATAATTAAAATTATAATTAATAAGAGTAATTTATATTATAAAAGAAGTTAAGAGTATATTATAAACTAAAATAAATATATAGAGATATAATAATATAAGTAGTAAACTTAGTAAAGTATTAAATTAGCTTATTTATTTATTATAAACTTAATATTTATAGAGATTAAAGAGTACTATAAGAGGTAAATAGAAAAAGCTTTATAGAAAGAGCTTAAGTAGTAATATATTACTATAAAAAAAGAAACTTAATAGTAAGAAAAGGAGTTAAAAATAAAATATAATATTAATAAATATTAACTAATTAATAAATATATAAAGAGATTAAACTTTATATTATATTTATATTATATTAATAAGTTTAATAACTTTATCTCTTTTAATAAAAAAGATTTATAATAAGTTAAGTTACTTAAGTTTTTTAAGTAATAAATTAATCTTAACTTTATATTACTACTAAAAGAAGTATTTAATACTATTAAATACTCTAAAAAGCTTCTTAATTACCTTAATATTAGAGAATTATTAGCTTTAAAAAAGTACTATTTTAATAATAATAACTTAGAGGTTTTTAATAATATTAATAATTTTATTAAAGAAGATAGTAATAATACTATATTAAGTATTAATTTAGTTTATAACTTTAGTAATAGTAATAATATTATTAATATTAATAAACCTAAGTTATTATTATTATTAATATTAATTTTATTAACTATACTAATATTAATAATAAAATAGTAAGTACTTTACTTTACTCTATAAGAAAGTTTAATATACTTCTATATTAATAGTATTATAGAAAGTAACTTTCTAATTATACTTCTATTAATATAAATAGTAAAGAAATAGAAATATATTATTAATAATATAAAAAGTAATAATATAGTTATTTTCTATAACTTATTAATACTTATATAAGATATATAGATATTATATATATAGCTAAATAGCTCTACTTAAAAGTAATATAATAATACTACTTTTATTATTATATAATATAGTTAAAGCTGAAAATTATATTATGAAAAGTTATTAATTTAGTAAATTAATACTAAAAAATAGCACTTTTAGTGATCTAGGTAGAAACCCCCTTTTTTGGGTGGAAACCCTGTTTTTTCGCCCCCTACGTGAGTAGGGGGGCTAGCGTTAGCCTGCGCCGCTTGGACCCCCGGGTAGGTGAATGCCGCAATGATGCCGACTGCATTAGATGTCTTAACAACAAGACACCTCTCATCTGCAAGAGTATGTACTATAGTCCAACTTATCTCTAAAGGCTTGACGTTGCTCACAAATCCCAGCTGACTCCACGTCCACAACTGGCAAGCGATGTGGCGCTGTTGACCCCCCTTGCCGGCCTTTCTAAGTTCTTGGAGGAAGGACCTATTTCTTTTGTTAAATCGGCGTTCGGAGACTATTGTACTACCCTCACACGCAAAGGCGACGGGTTTGCCATGCTTGGGATAAATTTTTATGAGCGGCGTTACTGAGCTCAACTTTAAATGATAAATGATGGATCACTCCTAAGTCTTCGGCTGGCTATTCGTGCGGCATCCTACTGCGGCTGATCTCAAATGGTCGGGGCACACTTTTGCCGCTCATCTCAGACCCTAGGTATATTTCATTGACCAATGCTGCCGACTCTGTTTTGGGCATTCTATTACGTTGGCTGAGAAACCAACTCTTCCATGTGTCCGTATTCTGAAAGTGACAGAGACCCGCGGAAGAGGTGCTCAGTTCTTAGGAAACGAAACGTCCGCCAGCGAGAAATACATCCCCTATTTGCGTCGTTCACTTACGCTACTTAAGGTTTTGTAGTACGCGTATTCATGCAAGTCTTCTTTACCGTTCTTGGGGTTTCCATTACACATCCATTACATCAATAATCTGCGGGGAGTACTTGTCCCTGAGAAAACCTGTTGACAGAAACTCCGCCACTATTGCTAATCGTCTAGCGTGACGAACCACAGTAAACTTTGTTCATGATAATTTCATATCTAAGCCATCCACTTGTAAAGGAACACGGATATAGGCCAAGAAACTTGTCCATCATCTGGTCGCACGAACAAGGCCTTCGGGCATCACGACCTCTGGAGGCAAACATCGGGTTCCGTTTTGTGGCCCGACGGGCTGTAGACATTTCCATCTGACTCGTTTCTTAGTCTAGTTCGTTGAGACCTTCCTGACGCGATCCCGGTGTCCTTGGACGGGCCGGTGGCTGTCTGTCGAACTCTCCTAGACTCATACGTTTCCCAGACAGACCTACAAGTCATTAGCAGTGCGATGTTTATCTTGGCTGATTCGCACAAAAAGCCCTCATACATCCAGAATAGTAACAAACATTGAACTCGGTTACAACAAAGCCGCACTTGACTTCCACTTAGGCGCCGGCAACTAAGCGAAAGTTGCGGAATGCGGCGTTGGTGGCTGACGGGACGGACCGCGAGCGGCGTCCGCTTCAAATCCCGAATAGGTACATCTCGCATTCGCAACACTTTGCTCGACTAAGGGTTCTCAATACCTAGAGCGCATCAAGTTAGGGCGCAAGACCTGGAGAGCGCTGTTCTCATAGGGACCGAAAGCCTGTGTAATAAGAATCATCGGCATTCGGCCTTAGCTCTCCTGCAAATGCAACTGTTAAGACTTGAGAAATAAGTGTCGATTGCCTTTGGAGATCATGGCTTCACCAAGGATCAATGCGAGCGTCGGTACGGACATATTAGACGAATCACGGAGCATGTCTTATGATGACCTGGAAAACCCCAAAGTGGGCCATTTAAACTCGGATGACAGACGTGAACAAGCCTGTTGTTCCACCAGTTTAAACGATGGCTGCATGACGCACGCAATCAACCTTCCTTTCATTGGTCGTGACAGGGAAATGCCATCGTAAATCTCTGGTCAAAGCACGAACACCACCGGCAACTCTATCCATCTCCCGGTCGAGATCGGCAGCGGGGCCCACTTGTCGGGCACTCGGACGCCTTTGGCAACTCTCCGAGATACGAATACGGACCCCATCTGCCGACTCCCGTCCGCATCCCTCACGCGCGCCCCGTGGAATCCACGGACGCTAGCCAGACAACCTTACATAACGTTCTGCGATTTTCAGACTTCCCGCCACTGGGATGCAACAACGGGCGGCACTTCGGTCGGAAGTAGTACCCGCAGTGGAGAAAAAGCTTGGCCCCATCGATACGTAGACGAGGCATAGACGACGCGTGCATGTTCCAACGGTGGAGTTGCTATTCGGGTTCGTTAAAGACTCTGCTAAGAGTCGAATCGCGGTTTCGGTCTTGGCAAAGTCCGTCATGACGATATTTCATCGCAAAGATGGGAACTATAACACAACCTGTTCGTCCGGCTCGGATTGCTGAACTGCTCAACACCATCAACAGACGACATCAACACACACACTCACGAGAACGTGGAACTCGACCGTGCGATATCGACTGAACACGACCACAACAATACGAACGCCTTCCTTCGCCACCATGGCTTCCCCAGCCCTCGAGTTGGGCCTCGGGTCCTACTCGATCCCATCTCCCAGCGAAAAGCCGATCCCATACCTCGCAACAGTTTTCCTGTTCATCGTGTTGTTTTACGCGATGGGCGATAGCGGCCCGAACCTCCCCGAGATCAACCCTCTGAAGCCTTTCGAATTCACCAATTCACGCCGCATGACCGAATTTGTACAACAGAGCAAGGACATCTTCCTGCGCGCAACAGCAACCTTTGGCAAGAACCCGTACAGACTTTACTCGGAATGGGGCGCCTCTGTTGTTTTGCCGGCCGATTTTATTCACGAGTTGCGCAGCGACCCGCGTCTCGACTTCATCACGCCTGCCAGCGATGTAATACAGCCCACTCGGGAAGAGCGGACGAATGTTAAGGACTAAATTTCTAACATGAACGCATATAGGACTCTCATGGATACATCCCCGGTTTCGAGCCCTTCGCAGGAAACGATGATTCGCCCAAGGTCGTGACCAAGTACTTGACCAAGGCGCTGAGTATGATACCATACCTGTCCTAGTCCGAAAGAGCTTCAAAGCTGACTTGTGTGTCACTCTAGCCAAGCTTACAAAGCCAATCTCCGAAGAAGCCACCATTGTCCTCAAGCAAATCTTCACCGACAAGAAGGGTAGGGCCTGAGTTCTGGTTTTCGATCGAACGAGAATCCAAAAGCTGACATGGGAAATTAGAATGGCACGAAATGGTCCCCAAGGATGACATCATCCGCGTCGTCTCTCGCATGTCAACCAGAGTCTTCATGGGCGGAGAACTCTGCCAAGACGACGAGTGGATCAAGGCTTCATCGGAATACACTGCTGCCGCTTTCGGGGTTGGCTGGGAACTCGGTTACTACCCGAGATGGTCCCGACCTTATGTCCACTGGTTCCTCCCGTCATGCTGGAGAGTCCGAAGGCTCTTGGCGGACTGCCGAAGAATTCTCAAGCCCCATCTCGAGCGTCGCAAGGTGAAGAAGTCCCAGGGTGTTCAGTTCGACGACTCCATCGAGTGGTTTGAGGAAGTCTACAAGAACAGGAAATACGACCCCGCGACTGAGCAGGTGAGCCACAAGACCCTATAGCTACGGCGTCCATTTTCTTTTCTTGTTTAGGGGTGCTAATTTTGGGGGACTTAAGATCACCCTCTCCCTCGTTGCCATTCACACCACTAGCGACCTCCTTCAAACGGTTTTGATCGACTTGGCCCGCAACCCGGAGCTCATCCAGCCCCTGCGCGACGAGTTGGCTCGGGTCTTACCTGCCGAGGGCTTGAAGAAGACTGCGCTCTACAACTTGAAGCTCATGGACAGTGTCATCAAGGAGTCGCAGCGCATGAAGCCCGTCCTCCTCTGTAGGTTTACATCCCCTGAATAGTGTTTCTTCGGTGATGCTAATCTCAAGCTTGAAGCCACCTGGCGCCGACTCGCAACCGCAGACATCACTCTTTCCAACGGCTTCAAGATTCGCAAGGGCCAGAAGATCATCGCCAACAACACTCACATGTGGGACGAGCAGTGGTACGAGAACGCCAGCAAGTACGACGGTTACCGTTTCCTGAACATGCGCTCTACCGACGAGGAGAAGCACGCACACTTGGTCTCTACGAGCTCAAAGCACCCCGGCTTTGGTCACGGACAACATGCTTGCCCCGGTCGCTTCTTCGCCGCCAACGAGATCAAAATTGCGCTGGCTCATATTCTTCTCAAGTACGACTGGAAGCTCCCGGAGGGATCTAACCCCCAGCCTGTCCCGTTCGGCATGGCTTTGTTGCCAGACCCCACTGTCAAGATGCAAATCCGCAGGCGCAAGGAGGAGATCGACTTGGACTCCATCGACTGCTGATTGAACCGCAAATTGGGCTCTGCCCAGGGCTTTCACCGCACTTTGCGCTCCTTCAGCTTCTCATATACTCGGGCTTGAACTTAGCAGTCACGAGGTATTCCGGTCTGCATGGCGAAGCAACTCCTCACTTCAAGCATCACCACTTATTCTCTTCACCTGTACTTTCTCCTACTCCCCTATGTCATTAGATACAATGCTTTTAGACTATGATCATTTCACGTAGAGTTTAACTCCCCTTTCATCCAAGATTGTATGAAGAAAAGTGACTCCTTCGGCTTGTCAGCTGGAACCATGTGTCCCGCATCGAAAATTTCTGCGAAGCTGAGGCCATCTTTTTCTTTGAACGAGCCTATTCTTTCTCCATCCAAAGTGTATGATTGGAAGTCTTGTGCTTGAAAAGCGGGCTGGTGACGCCAACGAATGTTGTGAACCAGATTCTTTTCTCCCACTGAGTTGCAGAACCAGTCTTTGTTGCCAGCGTAGAGAAGCACCCTGTATCCCTGTCGTTATCTTAGCCTTGGGTTTACAGAAACGATATGGTCCTCCTTACCTGGTCTAGCAGCTCTCCGGCCCAGGCGACGGTGTCGAAAGAAACATCTCCTGACTTATCAAAATGTTGTCCCAGCTCATAGTCAATGATGTTAAATATGGTATCTTCGGATACACCAAGCCCCCGTTTTACCGAGGAAGAGTTGAGATATCCCGCGATCCAGTCGGCCTCTTCGCAGCATAGCCCCCCGTCAGGGCAAGGCTTGCGGAAATCGTAAGGGTTCAGGTGCTCGTCGAAGATGAAGTAGACGCTTCGCTTCCTGCAATAGTCTAGCACATTATTACAGACGTCGGCATCGTTATCCATGTCAGTGCAAACCTGCAGCATGCTCTCGCATTGCGGCATATGCGCCTCGATGATGGAGCAAACACTGTCGTTGTAGACGGGATTGGGCCCTAGACATCCCGTCGGGTAGAACCCAGGCCATTGCAGTTTCTGTGAGAGTTGTGCGTTGCCCAGTCCGATTCCTTTCAGGTTGATCTTCGTCTCATTGACATTCGCGGTTGATCGCACGAGTTCCGCCATCGGGGAGGACTGTCGGTGGTGGATCTTCCTTGCAAGTGCTGGAACCCAGGTCCCTCCATACGACTCTCCTATGATGTAGAAGTCTTGATGCGAATATTGCGGGAAATTTTCCATGAACGCCGTGAGAAAGTTGTACATGTCGGATGTGGCGTCTTCCAAATTGGTCACAGGAGTCTTGGAATATGAAAAGCCAACATTTGATGGTTGACTTCCAAGTCCAATTGATCAGCTTATGCCTTGTCTCCTAGTGGTTTCAGGAACAGTCCATACTCAACAAAAATGACGTTCGCGTTATTGTTCCATGCATATGGATTTGATCTTGTTGAGTTGGCGCCGTTAATGAGGCAAGGACCAAGTTCCTGGAAGAGACCGAAAGCAACGGAAGAGGCACCGGGGCCACCACTCATCCAAAGGATAACCGGATCATTTCTCGGTTCTCCGCGACTTTCTGCCAGCCAGAAAAACATGTGCTTCGAGTCGTTTTCTATCTCAAATCAGCTAGGAGGAACCTGTATGAAGACCTCTATCCCACCTAAATCGTAGTAGCCAACATGTCCGCCGCCGGCGTCTGCGCAAATGCTTCCCGGCGGGCTGCGGGTCCTGAATGAACCAGCTTCCGCAACGGCGGAGACCAATGCCAGACCTCTAAGCCACTTCATGCTGACGAATTTCTTGAAAGCTGTGATAGAAGTAATGCTTTCCAATCTGCGACATCACGTAATGCAGAAAAGGTTGGTCAATGAGCTTATCCATTTCAAGGACACTCCATCCCTTGGGAGAGGGGATTGTGGATCTCCGCATCCGTTTGCCTGTTTAGGAAATCTGGTCGGAACAATCACTCCATGCCGCATCGACAGCAGCGAAGTTCCTCGCCTAGGCCGGATCTTGCTCAGGATGCAGGAATGGTATCTTAGACTCGAAGTCATAACAGAACATGGCATCGAAGCTATGGCAACGACATCATATAATAGTTCCCAGTCAATCGGTGTGCTGTTCGGTAGTGAAGTGTCTAGAAGACAGTTAGCAGTAGATCTTATCCACAAACAGTTTTCAAGACGAACACAACAGATTTCACAAGTCAGAAAGACAGAAAGATAAATAAACAGTGATGTCCTGCGATTTGAGACGTTTGCATATGCAAGGGAGCAGCGGAACAAAAGGGAAAATTGACAAAAAGGAGCGACTCAAAAAGGATTTGAACCCAGAGGCTCCAGCGTTGGATAGTATAACTTGGTGTTGAGCTAGCATTTGGGCTATACTCGGCATATTCACTGTCACCTCTCCACCCGCTGTTGCAAATTCAGGACGCAAACCTCCTTATAAACCTCACAGCGGGATTCTCAAATTGACTGAGCCGGTGAGGTCAGCTGCACGTGACCCACCTGTGAACAATACCTTATTCACTCCATACCGGCTCTTGGTCCTCCATCTAGCGGCTGCTTTCACTCGTGTCGACGATTTTCTTCTCCAGCGCCCGAGAAAAAAAAATCAGTCTCATCTTCGACCACACACTTTTCGGCAGGCGTTCACCCCAACCACAACACAAGTCGCGATGGCCTCGACACCCTCTCGGTCGCCCTTGCGCCCAACAGGGCCCCAGACCCTACCGATGTAAGTCCATTGATCTTTCTATCAACCTTATTGACGTCATATTGAATGATGTTAGGTCTGGTGAAGTTCACGCCGTCGATGAGAACGCACCGAGCGACGCCGAAAGACGCACTAATGACACTGGTGACAACGCCAACGACGATGATGGAACGGGAGAAAGCCTCGGCCAAGAAGCCTTCGACCTTGCTTCCATTCGCAGTCTGCTCCCGCGTCAAAATTACTCCGCTCACCCGAACATCAAGCTCTTGCCAGGACTGGACTTCGGCATACCCGAGACCGCCCCATTCACCAGCCAGCAGACTTCCGGCCTTGTTGCCAAGATTCTCCTTCCATCTAAGGCCACGAGTGAACCACCCTCCGCTGGCGGCCAGTTCGATGTCGCCAGCCGCATCAGTCAGATCATCGTCGTTGCCGCAGATGTGTACCACACGCACGACGTGTTCAGTCTCAGAGTTATCTTTGACTACGCGTTCAGGAAGCTCAGGGACAAAGGCCGGACCTGGGATTTCGTCTCCGCAGCACGCAAATCATCCGTCATTATGGAGAAGATTCTTGAAGCCCGCAAGCGCTTCATCGCCAACGGAGACGATACCAGCAAGATTCAGCCCTGCTTCCTGCACTTCCTCAATGCCTTGGATGACTTTACCCGCATCGTCGAAGGCGGTCTCAAGGCCAAGCAGATGAAGACAAATGATGCCAGTAAGTACTTCGTCTTTCAGAAAAATCACAGCTTCGAAACTGAATATTCCTACAGCAACGCTCCTCAACACCAGCCGTAAGCGTACTGGCAATCATCTGTCGAATAAGGTGGTTGTGCCTTGGAAGGTCCGCCGTTCGCACCACGACGAGGATAACAATACCACCGAGACTACGTATCAGCCATCTGGTGATGATGAGATGGCAGTTTGGCGTGCCAAGTGCAAAAGCCTCGAGGCCAGTTTAACACTGGCCAACAAGGAGGTTACTCAGGCCAAGGAGGCAGTGTCCAGGAACGATGAAGAGTGGTCGCAGCGCATGAAGCAGCTTTGGACCGTGGTACGTCCCGCTGTCAATGATCAAAGCAAGAGTCGTGGTGATCAGGGATGGGAGGAGGACGAGTTCGATCAGTTTCTCTGGAAGTCTGAGTTGGGCGAGGTCGCAAGCGCAGTGTTTCGAGGGTGAGATGCCGGCTTCTACTTTAAGTTAGTTTTGAGTTTGCAATTGTTGTCAAATATGGATAATCAGAATTCTATTTCGCGGGCGTAGCATTAGCTCTGTTGTAAAGTATTCATGGAATGACATATGTCGCGTTCGAGAAGTTCTGACGAAGTTCACAACGACCCTCGACCCGGTAGAATGCCGGACAGTTGAGCCACTCAGATGAGCGACAGGGACATGGGGCCCGCTGTGGCTAATCTCCGGCGATATCACATCCAATCGGATGATCTTAATGGCCCGCCTTGACACTTCCCCACCTTCCACACTGAAGCCGCCATTCCTATTTTGGACCATCTCCCAACCGCCGTCGTGAAATCGTGGCAGATCCATGTTGGAAATCGGGTCTGCCATGAACCCTTCCGACGACGGCGGGGTTTTCGGGAATCTTTCCATGTCGCGTGAGTAAGTTCTCAAACCATAAGAAGAACAGGAGCTGACCTCCTCAGGAAACCGGATCATGAAAGCATCCTGCTACCCCTCATCTCTTTGATCTTCGGTTTACAACCTGCTCATCAACCTTGCTTGATTTAGTATGGCTTCATCCACCTACCCTGAGCTCGTTTGGCAGCAAACCTCCACCGGGTTATGGCAACGCAGCGTCGACGAGATAGAGAAGCACTATGCCATTCTTCCCGTTCTTTACGAGGGCAGCGGCCTCATGTTCTTTGCCATCACTGGCCATGTCTCCCTGACCGTCGATGTCGCCAACGTCGGCTCCTCTTCCGACGCCAGCGCCGTGGATGAAGCTCTCAAGAAAGCATGGCTCGCACTCCGGCACGACCATCCCACCATTGCTTCCCAGGTGGCCCAAGATTCCACCACCGGGAAATGGACAAAGACCTACCGCCAGTTCCAAGACGAGGCCGACAAAGAGGCCTGGCTCAAGACAACCCTTGTTCCGGTCTCCTCACAACAAACCGGCATCACGTGGGCGAACTCCAACCCCCCAGCTCCCAAGGTCCCAACTCTCTTCGTCCTCAGCCCACCATCCAACAAGGACGGCCTCGTCCGCCGCGACCTCGTCCTCCGCTCGCCCCACGACATCATCGACGGTATCGGCACCCTCACCCTCCTCAACAACCTCATCACCCACGCAGCCAAAGCCTACTCCGAAGGAGATGCCTACAAGCTCCCACCGTTCGACGGCTCCGAGGCCGCAAACCTCAGCCCGCCGTTCCGCATCGCCGCCAACGTATCTCCTTCCCTCACGGATGCCCAGCAGAAGCGTCTGGCCGATATGTCCGCCCAAAAGGCCGCCGCAATGGAAACCCCCGGCGTTGAAATCATCGACATGCCCTACCGCCGCGGCGCAGCCGTTCCTCACCGACACCAACGCGTCTTCCGAACCCTGACCGAGACCCAGACCTCCGCCCTCCTGAAAGCCTGCAAGGCCGCCTCCGCAACCCCCACGCACGCCTTCCACGCCGCCATCGCCCTCGTCCTCCGCGACATCCAGCCCCGTGACCCCGTCTCCAAGCGCGTCCGCTACGTCAACTACATCCTCCGCAACGAGCGCTCAAGCTGCCAGGCACCCTACAACTCCGCCAAACACCCCGCGGCGCTGTACCACTCCGTCCCGGGCCAGAGTCTCGTCGTCGACATGGACCTGCCCGCCGATGGCCAAGACAACGCCAAGTCCGTCCAGGAAGAGTTCCTGCCCATCGTCCAGCAGATGAAGGACTTCTACCACGGCGTCCGCAACGATACGGAGCACTACGCCCTCGCCAACGACATCTGGGCCGCGATCACGCCCGAGCTACCCGCTGGCCCCCGGCCCTTCCCCGTTCCGCCGCCCAAGGCTCACCCCTCCGTGTCTATCTCGAGCATGGGACGGGTTGACGGCATCATCGCTCCCAAGAACGGAGCCTTCGAGGCCCATGATCCGTGGGTTACCGGCGAGGAGCTCGGCAACGGGCTCGGTCTGTTCTTGGGCACCTTCCGAGGTGAGCTGTGTCTGAGCGCGGCGTACAATGATGCTTGGCACACTGAAGCAGACATTCTCGACTTCTTGAAGCGATGTGAGGACGTAGTATTCCGTGGATTTGGCATTGACTCTTCTTAGACAGATTTAGAGGAGATTTAGGCTGCGACTCCATGGTCGGCAGCCGTAGATGCGTTGCTTTTTAGTGCGAATGACCTTACGAACATCAGACTTTCCCCCCAATATACTTGGAGTGACTCTCAAGTATCCAGCAAGCCTCAGAAGATGCACGTGAAAGACTATTTTCCATGGTCCCCGTTCTGTGAGATCTACATGCTACCAATCTATTGTCATGCCTAGACCTCGGCACACTTTCCAAGCCCCCTTGGCTAGCCTCGCCTCGCCTCGCCCTTCCCTCCCAGCCAGCAACCCATTCCCCGGAACACCCGGGCACGGAAGCATTCTAGACCTCTTCTCCCGCATACATGCGCCCGGCACGCCAATCCTGCCGTCCTATGCACCCACTGAACCTTATCTGCCTGCCCCAAATATTAATGTACATCTCCCCTGCGAGAGCTTCGTATGATAGACCAACGCCCATGCCCTGATTCCTGGAGGATTTCATGTATGGACGGTCTCGGCCTGCATGATACTTCTTCCTCTCTTGGATTTATCGGTGTCATCCAAAATGTCTGCAGCTAACCGATACCAGGAAGTGTCAGGGCTAACCTGAGTGGTTGTATCGGTTACCCATTGCCAGCAGCCGTGAGTAGCCGATGAATCCCAGTGGCATTTGTTGCTCAGGCTTTGAATACGTTCACAATGTGCATTTGCAGGATTTCCGATCATGGTGGGCTACAGATTGTTTCCAGTTTCCCGATCAGTTATTGGTGATGATAATCACAACCACTTCTTCTATTGTTCGCCGTT